TCCTCCTACCCTACTCTTATTATTCCACTTTGAAAGGAGGGGTGGATGAGATTCGAACTTGTGATCTTTGTGTCACGCTGACTCTGATACCATGACAATTTAGGAGAAAGAGAGAATTGAATGGCTTGTTTATTATTGATCATTAAGTAGAGTATTTATACAAAACCTAAACTTATAAGATACCTAAAAGATATAATAGGATAACCATAAATCCTAAAGATATATTCGCTAAATAAAATTTTTAACATAAATAAAGATAAACATATTATTCTCTTAATTATATCTACAGAAAATATATCACACATATTTTTCGATATATTTATCTCTATTCCTAACAATCTATTTATACGGTTATGTTTGATTTGGGTATTGAAAAAAATAAAATTCTACAGAGTATGTTTTTTAGAAAACTTATTCTAAGTCTGTTATAACCAATTTCATTTACAGTATTTATAAATGAAATAAAAGAAAGGAAAATTTGTCAAAAAAAACCTTTTAAATGCACCATTTTGTGAAAAAAAACCTTTTAAAAGCTTTTTTGTAAAAGAAAACCCGAAGTTAAATTTTTTTGCAAAAGACAACCTGTGCCTCTAATTCACTTAATTAAGCTCTAATTTTTTCGTAATTATCCTATAACTCTCACTTAGCCATTTTATAATTAAATTAAATAAAAACCACCATATCATCCCTACCACCACTCCACCAGCCAGCCACCCTCTCCGTCTCCTCCCCCTTCCCTTGGCAGCAGCCCCCTCCCCCCCAACTGAGCCACCGCCCTGAATCGCTGGCCGGCCTCTCTCCCTTTCCCCCTTACCCCCGCTGCAACCCTCCCCCTTCCCTGAACCCTAACCCCAATTATACACCTTCTCCCCTTAGACAGCAATGAGAGCATTAACATCGAGTGGCGGACAACGACGCGGCGGCGACTGCGAGAAAGAGGGAGAGAGAGAGAGAGAGTCAACGAGAGAAAAGGAAGAGGGAGAAGAAGCGTGCCACCTGACCGGAAACACCCATTAATTGCTCGATGTTATTGGCCGTCAAGGTGGGTCGCCGGGAGTTGGGGGTTCAAGGCGGTAGCTCGGTTCGGGGGAGGGGGCTGCTGCCATGGGAGGGGGAAAAGGAGGGAGTGGCTAGTTGGTGGTGGGGGTGGTGGTTTTTATTGGACGTCAAGGTGGGTCGCCCGGAGTTGGGGGTTCAAGGCGGTGGCTCGGTTCGGGGGAGGGATTGCTGCCATGGGAGGGGGAAAAGGAGGGAGTGGCTGGTTGGTGGTGGGGGTGGGGGTTTTTGGGTATTTTTTTTTTATTTATAAGTTAAATTAATTAATAAAAGGTTAAGTGAGACTTAGAGGATAATTAGAAGAAATTAGAGTTTAATTAAGTGAATTAGAGGCATTAGGTTGTCTTCAATAAAAAATTTCACAATTGAGTTTTCTTTTGCAAAAAAAATTTAACTTCGAGTTTTCTTTTACGAAAAAGCTTTTAATAGTTTTTTTTTTTTCGCAAAATGGTGCATTTAAAAGGTTTTTTTTGACAAATTTTCCTAAAAGAAAAGTGATATCAATTGGTTGCTGGTGTAGTGGTGATTAAGGCTGCACTTGGTAGGGAGGATCGCGTGTTCGATCCCTCGCAACAAGTGAGAGGGGGGTGAACCTAACCACTCATAATTGAGCCCCGAATCCAAATTAGCCCAAAGGATGAATCGGATGGAACACCAAAAAAAAAAATAAGAAAATTGATATCCGGAAAAATGATTTTCTACCAAAATGGACTATGTACTGTCACTAACTCACTACTGTAGAAAAGAATGAATGTACACATCGGGCTACTTTCCTCAAAATTATTCAAATCCATAATTGGCATGCGAATCTTTCTTTCCTATGCGGTAAGATTTAAAGAAGCCCTCGGCCCCCCATCTCTTTGCAGTCCATTCAAAGATCGGAGCCTAGTCCAACGACAAGAAGAGTGGAAAGGAAAAGGACAAAGAGAACGAATATATATATAATACCACCCTCGTTTCGTATTAAGTGTAACGATTAGTTTTGCACTATTGATAAGCTTACTTTGACTATAATTATTATTAGACCTGGCAAATGGGTCATTCGGGTCGGATTTGGGTCGAGTCAATTTCGGGTCGGATATGGGTCGGGTCGATTCAGGTTTCGGGTGAACTTCGGGTCAGGTATCGGGTCAAGTTCAGGTCGGGTCAATTTCGGGTCAAGTATGTTCGGGTCATATTCAGATCAGGTCAAAATCTGGTCGGGTCATGTTCGGGTTGTTTTATTTGTGAATCAAGTTCAAATGAATAATTTTATATGGAATATATATTTTGTTATTGTTATAATAAAAACTATCAATTCAGTTTATGAGCTTAGCTACGATTGAAGATGAACAATTTGAGTTACTTTTGGTACAAGACATTTTAAGTTCAATTATAAGGTAATTTTAGTTCGGGACATGTCGGGTATTGGGTCTGTTCGGGTCAATTTTGGGTATCGGGTCTGTTCGGGTCAAACACTTCGGGTCGGGTCAACTTCGGATCGGGTCAATTCGGGTGTCGGGTCAGGTTCGGGTCAACTCCATTTTCGGGTCGGGTATGGGTCGGGTCGGGTCAATTTCGGATTTCGGGTCATTTTAGGGTTAATTTCGGGTCATGGGTCGGGTCATCGGGTCTGGGTCGGGATTGCCAGGTCTAATTATTATTAATTTATAATAAATATATGTTGCCGAGTATAATATTTTTTGATTTTTGTATGTATATTTTCATTAAGTTAACCTTTTATACTTTTTTAATACTCCGTAATATATAATTACAAATATAATGGTCAAAGTTGTACATTGACATGTGTGCTAGTTAAATTAAAATATTGTGAATATTATGAAACAAATGGAGTAATATGGAGTATATTAGTAATTTTATTCGTATATATATATAATTGCATCACTTTGCCTTGTGTCAGTTGAGCGTTACAGAGTATTTATCTACGGAGTACTAACTTTGACTTGATTTTAACAATACACATAAAAAAAAAAAATACATTTGTATTACTTACAAAGTAATATGTTAATGGACTACTATAATAGACTATTAAAGATGATAACAATCAAAATTTTGTGTTCGCGAACGTGTAGTTAAGTTTTTTAGCAATCCATTTGATAAGACAAATGATGGAGTTTTGTCGAGTAAAGAAAAAGGATCTTCATATGGTCTTTATTGATTTGGAGAAGGCGTATGACAAGGTGCCTAGAGAGGTACTTTGGTAGGCAATGTTGAAGAAAGGTATCCCACGAAGGTACGTGGACTTGGTTAAGGATATGTATCGGGATGTGTCAATAAATGTGAGGACATGTGGAGGGTTGACAAAAGATTTCCCTATTATTATAATTGGATTGCATCAAGGGTCTGCATTGAATCCTTTTCTTTTTGCAATGGTTCTAGATGAAGTTACTAGACCCATTCAAGATGAGGTTCCTTGATGTATGTTGTTTGCAGATGATGTCGTTTTGGTGGATGAAACTAAAGATGGGGTTAATGCCAAGTTGGAGCAATAGAGGCAAAGGTTGGAATTTAGAGGGTTTAAGCTAAGTCGAACTAAGATTGAATATTTGGTATGCCGCTTTGGTACTCAGAGGGGGACAAGTGATGAAGTGGTGAGTTTGTGGAAAGGAATTGACCATGAGTGAATGTTTTAAGTATCTTGGGTCGATCATCCAAAAAAATGGTGACATTGATCAAGACGTGGCCCACAGGATTAAGTCGGGGTGACTTAGGTGGAGAGGGCCACGAGAGTGTTATGTGACCGAAGCATTCCCTTACAGTTGAAGGGAAAATTCTACAAGACTGCCATTAGACCAGTATTGCTCTATGGTACAAAATGTTGGGCTTCTAAGAAGAAGCACATTAAAAAGATAGAGGTTATAGAAATGCGTATTGATTCATATTTACACAGCTATTTTGAGTTTTTTTAATAAAAGAAACAATCTTTAATCCTTTCTTGGATTTTGATATGTTTATTATACAATTATGGTGGTATGTATTCGTTTTTCTTGAGGACAAACGAGTTAAAGAATTTTTGTGAAACAATGATAGAACTGCCAAGGCTGGGTTGAGAGGCGATACTGGAAGGCTCGGTTCAAGAATCAAAGTTTAGCACAACGGCAAGGTTTAACAAACCATAAACACAAGCTAAGCTCACGTTTTTCATATGATAATCAAAACTCAAATTTGATTTTCGTTAATTCTTAACCACGTAAATATAAGCTAAACAATTAGCCTAAAATCGCGTAGAACAAATTCTAATCTAACTAGGAAAGTAACCCTGCCTTGTAAAGATAATATTTTGCAAATATGATCTTTAAAGTTAAGCTATCTTCTACTAACCGAATTAAACTAACAAATATCCTAATTATAAGATAAAAATAAACAACTTAATCTTTTAACCATGCATAACTCTTGGATTGACACCACTCAATCTCACGGTTAATAGACGACTCAACCAAAATTAAAAAAAAAAGTAATTAAAATCTTAGTCATGATGCCTTTGATCCGCATCACGCATGTTAAGGTGGATGTGTGGAAACACTCTAAGAGATAGAATAAGAAATGAGGTTATTTGCAAGAAAGTAGGTGTGGCAGGCATTGCAGACAAACTAAGGGAAAATCGTCTGCGTTGGTTTAGGCATGTAAGACGGAGACCCAAGGGTGCACCGTTTGAAGAGCGGAAGAGTGGGACCATGGAGGGGTTAAACAAGGGAGAGGGGGGACCGAAAAATGACTTGGTTGGAAGGAGGTAGAAAGGATATGATGTATATGGATTTGCACGAGGATGAAGCATTGGATCGTAAGAGATGGAGGAGGAAGATTTTTGTGGATGACTATACGGAATAATCAAATTTGATTCATGTAGTCGACCCCACTTAGCCGACCCCACTTATGGGATTAAGGCTTTGATTGATTGATTGAAAGAGAGGTGCTAAATAAAATTTTAAAGATATTTTCACCATCCAATGCATAACACGTGCATAACGATACAGGATACACTCATGCATTCATACACCTAGAATTAGAAATGCTTATGAAATATTAATTTATAGGTTAACTCAAAATTTTGTGGAAATACATTGACTAACGATTAAAGCATTACATTAGCGGTATGCAGAATTTCTTGCTTATTTGCGATGAAGCATTACAACGTTGTGATTTCGCCTTTACAACAGCTCGCAAAACTGCACATTAGACTTATTTCGCAAGAATAATCCAACCACCATAGATCCATCGAGCTTAAAAGGAGTGATCATAAAAGTGCCATCTCTACCATGGACCATAGGAGGCCCCATGTAGGTCTCGAAACCCCACCCGAAATCAACTCCTGAACACCCGAGGTTCAACCAACTTATGACCTCTACTTTACCATGGTCGATACTTGGAGACGGAGGGCTATATTGTTTTCCTCGCTCCTCGAAAAATTGATGATTAATTAGACTTTGTTGGCTTTTTAAAAAGTCGATTAATTCCAAAACCAACTTGTTATTCACCTTGGTTGTGGCTTCTCTTATCTTACTACAAGCATAGCTTAGAGGTTTCGACATTATCTCCCCTGCCGTACTTGATACATTAATGTCGATAACAGCATTGCCAAAGTAACTGCAAGATTGTAAGAAATAAAAGATCATGTTTTCTATCAAGAAGAATTATAAGGGTTCAAAACCAGCTTAACATAAGTTTAGTTAAGTGAAAATCAAATGAATTAAATACATTTAAAGTTTGACATTAGTGGGGGCAAATTACCTAATTGTGCATATTTTAAAATGGACAAATATAGGAAGTGTGTCCATTATTTCAAAACGGGGAAAGTATTTTAGTCGCTAAGTACAGCTGCGTGTTTAGTGTGCAGCTGGCCACATCACGTGGCCGCTTGTAAAAGAACAAAATAACCCCTATAATATTGACCGAGTAACCTTGTAATACTAACCAAGTAACCCCTATAATATTGACAAATACCCCCTGTAAAGCTATAACACTGACGAAGTAACCCCTATAACACTAACCAAGTAGCCAATATAACAATAACGAAGTAGCTCTCATGATGGCTGGCCACGCGGTGTGGCCAACCACATAAAAATTTTGTGATTAAGTATCTATAATACAAAATTATAACAATTTGATACTGTAAAAGTATAAATTGAGTGAATCTTACAAGATTAAGATAACTATATTTTTCTAGAAAAATATGTATATACGAAATGTATGGGAGCTGAGTTAGTTAATACCTTGATGGTAATGGTGGATCCATACGACGTCGTGCATCGATAGCAATAGTTAATGTGGTAATGTCCTCTCCCTTGAGTTGTCGTGCCTTGCACACACAGTAAGCCGTAATAGCCTCAAAACGACTGTATGGATGCCCATTGTTATCATTGTTGCTATTGTTAGCAACTTGTTTAAGTCGTTCAATTTTTTCTTTTGTTAGGAGTTTAAAAATTGGAGTCACATTATTTCCCACTTTCCCTAACCCTACTTGGCTAAAAAATTTCATGCTTCCACCATCATCAACTTCTTCCCTTACACTAGATTCATCGGCGTCCTCAGCTAGAAGGATACGTCGATCTAGTAGAGGTACAACCTCTAATGGCTCGCCACGAGTGAGCCGTGCCCAATTCTTGATAAAACGGAACGCACTCGCCCCATCTGCCACAATATGTGACATAGCGAGCCCAACACTAAGACCACCACATGCAAATCTAGTAATTTGCACGGATAACAAAGGAAGGCCTTGGATTGGACGTCCACAATAATCTATTTCAGGTAATAGATTATAAAACTTATCACTAGATGAGTAAAAATCACCAAAATCGGCGATTTTCATGGTAGACTCTACCTCAATAAGCTCGGCACCGAGTGCATTACACTCGAGCTTGAACCGACCACCTCCTATCCAACTCAACCGGCCGGCTAGAGGATAATACGGAACCAAGACACGACTCAAGGAGTTCTTAAGAGTATTGACGATTTTGTTGGTCGATGTTACAAACGAATCGTGTTCAATTGGTTTATCGTAGAAGTATACTATATACGAATGTGTAATGACTGAAATGTGATCAAGTTCAGTCAAGGGGAGAAGGCCATTCCATGTTGGTTCAGCTGGTTTCACTATGTGTTTAGAGATGGTTCTCATTTTTTTTTTTTTTTGGATGTGGCTTATTATGGAATAATATAGCTCTTTTTGGATGTGGCTTATTATGGAATAATATAGCTCTTTTTTTTTTTTTTTTTTTTTTTTTTTTTTTTTTTTGAAAAGTTATGGAATACCGAATTGTGGCCATTGTGATTTCTTATCTCTGAGCTTTAGGCCTTTAGTGATTTCTTATCTATAGACATTTTTCAAATGGGTAAAACAAAATTGTGGTCATCGTATCTGATTGAATCACAACCCTCCGATTAATAAAATTCATCATATTCATCTATTTAGTTGACGGTAAAAAAAAATATTTATAAATAAATAAAAAATAGAAAAAAATCTAATTTATCTTACTTGATGTTTTCAATTGTTTTCATCTTTAATGGCAATTGATTGGTTTCTTGAAAATTAGAGACAAATTTTGCTTTTTTTTTTTTTATATTTTTTTATTTATCATCCTCTTCTTTTTTTCTCCCTTTTTCTGATTTTCTTTAATGGAGGATGATTCATTTTTTGATAAATTTGATGCAAAAATTATGGGCCTTGTAATATATAATGCGGTAAACAGGTTTATTGTTAATAAACTATAATCAAATGTTGATTTTTAATGGAGATGAGAGAATCATTTGAACGAACTTAGAAATTGTAAGAATATGCATAATGGAAAAGTTCAGAATTTTTTCTTTAGAAACTGTAAAATAGTTTTATTTATTTATTTATTTATTTATTTTTATTTTTTATACCCGTAATCAAAAAAACTGTTTTTCTTTTATTCATTTCTTATTAAAAATTAAAGTCAATTGGATGAATGGACAAGATTGAACATTAAAAATATAAGGCCAAGATTAACAAAAACTCTTGTATGGACCTGGTTCGCAAAAATATTATTGTGGACTCGATATCTATACACGACAATAAATGACATTATGTTGAATATAGTGACCCTAATTTTAACATAGAGATCCTAATTTTAATATAGTCACCGTTATTAAAATTTGTGCGAGCTTGGTTTGAGGTTCAAATGTATCTCTGACGTTAATTTGAACATAATAACTCTAATTTAACATAGTGACCTTTAATATTCTTATTGACCAATATATTAAAATTTTCATTATAATTTATATTAATCTCTTATGACCTTTATTATAACACATTGACTTTTATTTTAACATAATCACCTTTATTTTAACATAGTGACCTTTTTATTGATATAAAATCCCTTAGATTTAAATAACAATATTAAAATATAGTGACCTAATATTAGTGGTCCACAATAATTTAGTGTGAACCGAATCTATTTAAGAGTTTATACAAGATTAAAACTAATTACAATAGCAACAATTTTGTTGTAGCCATTAAATAGTCTTCCCTATATTAGATTTAAATTGAGTTCACTTTTACCATTGATTTATTAGCCATTCATAGTCTTGTTGAGCCAAAATGCTTGTCACGCTGACGGCCCCATTAGATCACATTTAATGTTAAGTACATTATAATACATTTGTACACATTTTTTTTTTTAATACTACTCCCTCCATCTCATAATACAATGTCTCTTTGGGTTTTAGGCGGGAATTAAGAAATTTGTAAATTTCTAGAAACTAATGATTAGAAAGTATATATGGGCATGTGGGGTTAGAGAGAGATAGAGAAAAAGAAAAAGAAAAGTAGTTAGGAATAATTGAAGAGATAGAGAGAGAAAGTGTTAGAAATTGATGTTAAAAGTACAAAAAAGAAAAGGAAAAAACATGACAACTCATCAAAAAGAGGGTAATAATGTTAAAAAATACAACATTTAAATAGAAAGAGGCATTGTATTTTGGTTTACCCAAAAATGAAAAGAGACATTGTATTATGAGACGGAGGGAGTACCTTACTACCTTTGTTTTCTCAATTTTTACTCACTTTTTGTTTTAATCTGTTTTTCTAAATTCTACTCCCTATTACTTTATATCTTTTATGACCACATTTTATTCATTTTTTTTTATTATCCATGACCCCACTAGGTGAGACCCAATTTTATTTAATAAAATCTCTTACCCCCACCTGTTAAGAAATAGATGAGGATCGATTAAATTAAGTAATGTGTTTGATCTGTGCGGATCATAGACAATAATATATGAAGCGTAAATTTGAGAAATAAAGTACGTACTGGTAGAAAATAGTTGAGATGAACACGCAGATATACGTGGTTAAGTCAAATTAGACTTATGTTCACATGGTAAGGAATACTATTTCTTATTAGTTTTCATGGAGGATAAACAAGATAAATAACAAGGAGATACAACGCTCTCCATCTCACAAAACCCCTCAAGTTGACTTACATATTGGCTTGAATTGGCTAGGCTAGGTTAATCAATTTGAGCACTTCTAATTGTTCACCCAATGGTTCCCTATATAACATAAGAAACCCCTAAATTATTCCCCAAGGAATATCATTAGTAACCGTCATAAGCTTACTTGAAAATAGGAAGCAAAAACATCTTCACTCGACCTATAGGCACGGGTGTGCTATGAAGGGCACGTCCGTGTTCCTTCCCTAGTTTCAATAACTCTTTGTAAAACGGTCATAACTTTCTCGTTTCTTATCAAAATTGGGTGGCATATGACCTATCGTTGAAAAGCTCTTGGAACAAGGTATCACCTTCAACTTGAATCACCTCAATATCACATCTTGATTGAGAGATATGTGTGTTTGAAGTCGTTCCTTTGCCATTTCACTAGATTTAAATTTCAACTAGATAAAAACGGATGAAATATATCGTATACTTCGTAGTCCCTACCATGCATAGTGTGTGAAATACACATGCATAAATAATTAAGCAGGCAAATGTAGTTAAACCTCGCTTTCATTTTGATACGTCCAGCATGTATGAATTCAAGTCCCTTCTTGGTCCTTGAATGAGGAATTATTCATATCTCTAATGTACCCCAACTCCCCAACTCAATCTTTAGATAGTTGTTACCTTAATTATATATAATAAGTAATACGATCAATCACTAAATTGAAGTGTTTGTGAAGTTAACCTAATCCATCTTGCGTTAAATAAAAATTTGTTTGGTCTAGGAAATTTAGATGAACTCGCGAAAGGAGTATGAAGATAGATAAGTCTAGCTATTTATACGTACATCTCTTGAAAATTAAACTATAGAGAACTTTATTTTAAAAGTATATGATGTGTTATTAATTGATACCGTTGTTTAAAAATTTTACCAATTAAGGAGATTAATATTTAAATGTATTTTTTTTTCTTTAAAGAAAAAAATTATTTTAGAGTTTTTTTTTCCCTCAGAAACTACCTAATAAAATCTAGAATTTGTAAGAAACTACCTAATAAAAAAATGGTGTAATAAATTAACTAATAAGAGGTAAAATGTTATAAAAGACTACATTTAGCCGAATTTCCAAATTTGACCAATTTTTCCGACGTTGATCCCACCACAAAACACCCCCCCGAAACCACCCTAGCCTTTTGGGGTTGGAGGGTGGTCTCGGCTAGGTAGAGGCATTTTGAAGCGAGAGGTGTGTTGATTTTGGGGGATGAAAGCAGGTGGTTTTCGGGGTATTTTGTGGTGGGTCAACGTCGAAAAATTAGGTAAGCGTTAAAAATTCGGTCAAAGGTAATATTTTACAACATTTTACCCTTTATTATGTAGTTTCTGACAATATTTTTTTTATTAGATACTTTCTCACAAAATTTAGGTTTTACTAGATAGTTTTTGACAAAAACCCCTTATTTAAATGTATTTTTAAATGAGGTAAAAATTGCATTAATTTGTAGATAGGGACGAAAACAACTATTTATAAGCTGGCCAATCGAGAACAATAAAAACAGTGACACCTTCTTTAATTCGACCATACGTCCGTACTATATTTGTTCAACCAACAATTAAGTTTCTACGTACAAATAATTAAGAGTGTGCTTATCAAAAAATTAAGAGTGTGGAAAACTGGAAATGTGATATCGCAATAAGGCTATGCATCCTTTTATTCAGCAAGTCTAGTGGTTGAAGCAACGGCTAGATAAGATTAGGTAGTTGGTTGGTTGATTGATCAAATTTATATATTGGCATAAATCGTATTAAAAGTGTTGTTGGATTTTTTTTTTTTAATTTTTTTGTTAGTGGCTTTCTGTTAATAATCACATCTCTTTCATATTATTATGTCATTGACTGTCACACTTTACTCTTAGTATTAAACTAACATCAAGTTTTCAACTAACTAAATTGTGATGCACATAATTTGTCACAAGAAACATGCATGGAGAAGATCACATTCAGATATTTCCTTATCTCTAATTGTAGTATTTATGGAAAGAAAATAAATTTTCATTAGGTAAATTAGTAATTGGTCAACTAACTTTGATTTCTGGCATTTCATGTAATGCAGTTTCGACAGTCCCTTTTAACGTGGATGTTAGAGAGGAATATGCAAATGCCTTTAAAGTTAATTCATATAATGAGTTTTGGGCTCATGTAGATTATGGAACTAGCTCATAAAGATTAACTCTCAACAAAATCTTTGGGATCAACCTCGGCAACATGATCAACATAACAATCAACACGATCAACATGATCATCTCTTAGGCCTTGATCATCATAACCTACCAATCAAGACTAAATTGTTATCCTTAACCAAAAACCGACCTGAAAATATGTCTCGTATAAGTTCCAACTAACTATTTTGAGCATACTGCTAACGCATCTTTTTTATGCGGTCATTCAATTACTAAAATATACTGACAAATTGCGTATTAAGTATTAATCCCTTAAGAATTAGAATCCTTTATGGGGCGTTTGGTTCGCAGAATATAGGTATGAGGTATGGGTTTAGAATGACTAAAACCCATACCATATGTTTGGTTGTCAAAAGTATAAATTTCAAACCTATACCTCAAACCCATGAGGTATGGGGTTTAGAAACCTTGGGGGGCAGGTGTGTTTGGCCCATTACATTCCCTTAGGTATCAAATAAAAGGAGAAAATAGTGAGAGATTCCATTCCAAAATTATACCAAACACATGGTATTAAGTATCAAGTTCCAACCCGATACCACCTTAACTTCATTCCTGATTCCAAAC